ATGCCTGAAGGTGTTCTTACGACTTTTTATCGTTTTTATCGTTTTTATCTCTTCGAGATCAAACGCAAAACTCTCAGCAATCTCATTAATTCAAAAAATTCAGCAGCAAGCAGCGAAAAAGTTGGGACTAACCATAATACGTAAATTAGTGCTAATCACTAATAATATCAATTTCATATTATTATGAGGTTGTCGCATAAGTTCCGTCCGTTTTAACTTTCGATCGCGATACATGAACTTCTTGGTTCTAGACAGGTTTTAAGGTACCATTTGATAGAGCAGTGGAAGCTCTACAAGATGAGCTTCTTACTTTCGCACCAGTTCAAGTCCATCTCGAGTTTAAAGCAAAAATCGGAAAGATCTAACCGCCCGAAAAACAAAGAAGAAATCGTAACTCTTTCCAAAAAATCCTAGAAAATTTCTAACTTGCTTACATATACACTATTCACATCAGCCATTTATATATACTGTTCCTGTATTTTTTTCCTGAATAAAATCGAGAAAACGATTTTCATGTCAATGCCAAAGTGATGCTGTGCTGTTCTCACTCTAGTATTATAACAATAAGTTCGCTACTGAAAGCGATTGGAAAGTTTACTGCTATGCAATGATTTTTGGGCTATCATAAAAAGCTTCGGAATGTTTTTCTTTCTAATTTCTTTTTGAATATACGAGCTGCCCCGGAGTTTTCAGCCAAAAATTAGGTAAGTCCCGTAAAGAGTTAAGCAGATGCTGCATTGAGCGTCAGTCTCGTAGATCTGTCGAAAGAAATAAAACATTGAAAAACTCTCAATTTCTCTCAATTTTTGCTTTGCTCAACAGCTTCAGATGACAAACCTTGAAAAATTTCAGAATTTAGTCATATCTTGAAAGCAATGCAAGGGCAAGTGCAACCATCTCTAGAAAAATCTCAAATCTCAATCTAGCCATTTTAGCCAATTGCCGTTACTTGTTTTGTTATTGTTTACTTTCAAATTATGGCTACAGTTCTATAATGCAGGAATTCAGTAGAAAACAGTCATTAAGGAATTGTGGAATTTTGGCTGGTAACAGAATACGAATACTGAAGCTTTATGAAAATATTAACCAAAAGGAACTTCAAAAATTGCTCCATCAACCATTCATCATTGTTCTCTGCAGTTTTCCGGTAAATGCCATAGGGTTGACGAATGATAAATTCAGAATTTTAGTTAGGCTCGCTTTGTCGGGTATCTATGAAAGGCTTCTGTAGTCATTGCATGTTGGGTTAAAAATAAGTCGCGCACCTAGAATTCAAAGAAATCATTCAAGAATGCTCAGGCGTTTCAATCTGTAAAGTACTTTTTTCTTGCGTGTAATTCAGCAGTATTTTATATACATTTGAGAATTTATTTCAAACAATTTTAACACTCTCGAGTAAAAATTCGAAAATGACAACTTCACGTAGAGATGTCGTATCAGCGTAAACTTATTTTGTTGAAAAGCTTAGGTTATATAACTCAAATAAAAACTAAATTTGGGAATCTTTGGGTCTTTCACCATTCTAGAGGATCAAAAGTTGGAAAAACATTTGAGAGTCTGCATTCAACAGAGTTCTGTTGAAGCAATATGACAATGTTGTATCTTGCATTGAAAGCATCTAGCAAAAGTAAGGTTTTTCTCTTTCTAACTTAGATTATTTCAAGCAGATTTAGTAATTTGGAAAAACTACGGAATTTTAAAAAATTCTTATGTTCCACCTAACAAATTTTTTCGTTTGAAGACGAAAATTTCGCAGCTTGATTCTGCCTCAAATAGTGCGAGTATTTGAACAAATTCTGAAATGATGTGCTACTTTTAGTTCTAAGTTTAAAAATTAAGCAAGTCATTCTAAAAACGCGGTGCTTAGTATTCAAAGCGGTCGAATGTACTTATTATTTAGTGTGGTCAGCGAATCAACTCTGTTTCGAAAACTGTAATCAATTACAGATGATCAACTCGAATCTGCTTGACACTTTGAAGGAAGATGCCATTGATGTGGCCATTGTTTACTCAGGCAATCCATGTCAGCTCGCTTTGGCGCATGTGTTAGCAGTTCCTGTAATCTACTACGATCTCGAAGGTGGGCTAATCAGTTGTGTTAATCGTCACAGTTAAGCAGATTGAAACTAAAGTTTTGTCGCACCATTTTCGAAAATTTGTGATTTGTTGTGCTTTGTTATTCAGAAAAATAGATCATGCACTTCATCGTATACTTCATTTCATATAATACATTCACTTCATATCCATGTCTGCGACTTAAAGGCAGTGTCCGGGCAAAAAGTCGATTTTGAGATTTGGTGCTTACCCGATCCTATTCACTATGCTGAATCCGAAAATCCACATCAGAAAGCGCGAAAACGGCAAATTAGGGCTCTAACGCAGTAGGGAAATCAGAAGTGGGCGGGCCTCCCACTGCGGATTTACGCTCCAAGCTTCCGGAGCGATCTTCTCGGTCCCGATTTCAAATCATGCATTTGCACCTGGCCTGTGGAGATCTCAGGGCGCTAGCAGAACTGAGGAAATTGCTTCAGAAGCTGGGACCGTGAAATTCACAGAGGGAAGGCTACGCCCACTTCTGATTTCCCTCCTGCGTTAAAGCCCTTTTTCGCCGTTCTCGCGCTTTCCAATGTGGATTTTCGAAGTCAGCATGGCGAATAGGCCCGGGTAAGCACGAAATCTCAAAATCGAGTTTTTGCCCGGACACTGCCTTTAAAGGGAAGCAAGTAGAAGTGGCCTTCTTAGATGTGATGCATACCATACCGAAAAACGTTCATAACTTCTCGTCCATAAACGTTCTGCAGATAAGCAAGGCAGGTTTGGAATCAGCGTTTTATGCACTCTAAGTAAACGTCCATTCAAAAAGGCCACTTTGACGAAACAAAGCTTCCATTGTTAGAGACTTTATAATGCGCTACATACTACATAGGTAAAATTAGTCAAAAGAAGTTTCTTGAATCTCTATTTTCCTGCGTGGTCGTAGAAATTTGTAGATTCGCAATAAAGAAGTGGAGCAGTCGGTATTGTGGAGTCTATCACCTGCTCTTTCCATATGAGCAAAACTTTTTTATTTATTTATTGTAATACACTCTGGGTGTGCCGTTAGTAAAAATCAAGCACTAATAGTAAACTCAAACGATAGCCAACTTCCCAATGAAAAACAATAAAACATTATTTCCGATGAAAGGCTTAAGTTCAACTCACTAATTCGTAGCACTAACCAATTGTAAATGAGGGAATCGCATTGGTAGTGTGTTGAATATCTTACTGTCTTTCAGAGATAAAGTTTCCATTCTTTTGAGGACCAGCGAGCCTACGGGCGGAGGCTAGCTGATTAAACCCCCATAAAAAACACAGGCTCTCTGAAAGCACAACAAGATAGACAAAGCTGAGAAAAGATGAGTCATAACAGCGAAAGACACCAGAAAGACATTCAGTCAACCGATGTAACTATCTTGTGATTCAAATACTAATCATATCAGGAAAACAAATTTTGAAATCGACCTCCCAGTAGGCTAAGCTGGCTAGTCGTGAGCTATCAATATGCAATCAAACAAGAAAACAATAATTAACAATAACTTTTTGTAATATTGTGTGCGAGAGTAGTGGCCAGATCGACCTTCAGCTGTAGCTAGTTTGACAAGAAGTATCTTCAGTCGTAAGGAAACGCGATAAGACAAGAATGTGTAACTGAAAGAAGGCTTTCAATGAACTGAATGCGGAAATTGTATGCTTCTTCAAAAATATTTTTGAGCAATTCTAGCCATCATCCATTATTTTTACTAATTATTAGAAGCTAAACGACATTGAATTCAGCGAAATGCTTTGACGAACATGATGGCTCAAGTTTACTAACGTTACTGGCAATGTCTAAGACAAAACAGAGATGTAATTTTCCATAATTAAAAAATCAACTCAACAACCCAAATTGCTTGAATGTTCAAAAAACCATTGAAATCAAATTTTAATCAGATCATATTTCGATTTGTTTCATATCTCGATTAATTAGAGGTTGACGATAAGTCTTAGCTGAATTTCAGAGTTGAAACGGAAATGTTGCAGAGTTTTCTAGATCTCAGCAATGAACAAAAAAATCATTATTTTTAGCATGGCAGCAAACTTCAACAAACCTTTTGTGCATAAGATCGTTATTTTTGACATTAAAACGTGAGTTACCGATTTAGGCCTCTCTGATGAGACCCTGATAGCCTCGAATTCTCCGCTTGACTCAAGTGTTCCTCCAGCAAAATGCTTCCTACCCGATGTGAGTCACCAACTCCCATATAAAATTGCAAATATAATAACTCCAGATAAGCTCATCTTATGCATTTTCACGGCTACGCAATGGAATTTGCTGTTTGAGAGAGTACCTCGTACAAAGTGGCATTCCTCTACTATCAAAACTGCTTTCCAAAAAATATCGTCAACTTGACGATCCCATTTCTACGATGTTCGCGGAGGACTACGAATTTAAAAAGAGGTGAATGGGTTTTGAGGGGGGGGGGGGGGGGTTTGCAAATTTTCTTCTGATGCTCATGCATTTTAGATTCTGCGGATTTCCTCTGACTACTACATTATTGCAATCCAGCTCTTTATTCTACGCCAATACCGATCCCTTGCTTGAGCATCCACGGGCTCTTTCGCCAAGAGTAATACCTGTAGGAGGACTATATATCGACCACCCTAAGCCACTATTCGAAGTAGGATCACTAACTGCCTTACAAATTTTCTTTAAGGGTAATAGTAAAACACATGAGACCTTTTCAATCGCTATATGAGCTGGATATACGCCTAAATGCAAAAAAAGACGAATGTTCATAATGCTAAGAAGATGAGGGCGTATCGTTACCTGCGGGCTTCCAAATGGAAAACGTCGCGTGCGACAGGCTGCCAGTGACCAGACTCGGGGAATTCAGCCAGCATGATCCGCAGCACGTAGTTTTTCAGTTTCTCATCCTTTGTTAAGGTTCAGAGACTATTCTCATATTAGTTTTGCTCAATTATCTGAAGTTTTGCCACAAAAGTTGTAAATGAACTTTTGAAGGACAAAAAAGACATGAACTGAAGAAGATAAAAAACTAACAATACAGAGAAGCACTGGTAAGAGAAAGCGCTCTCATTCTACTGTAGAAACTGTTGCTTAAGCTGATTTCCAGCTGAAACGTCATGGCGCTGATCTTTTTATTAGGCGACCGGTAAACATTGCTTCTCAGCCTCTGGCAGCCCTAAAATCTGCGCTTGCATCATTTTCTGCTTAAAGGCAGTGTCTACCCAAAACTTCGTCACAGGAAACCTCGCAGTGTGCAACAGTGCCACATCAAAACTATGCGTCTCGATTTCGCTTGTCATGTCATACAGGTAAAACACGTGCCCCAATACAAGTTCGCCACTGCACAAATCGTGCTCTCGCATTATTTCAGAAGTGCCGCGCGTGGTCCGCAGCGTTGGAGCAGTCCATGCGATGAACGAATCGACTATATGTATCACTGAGGCTCCCGCCAGAGTGCCGAAGTTATGCCAGCGTTACGCCAGCACTTCGATCGATACACGTGTATTTCGTTGGGGCGGGGCTAGCTGACGTCCCCAACGAAATACACGTGTATCGATCGAAATGCTGGCGTAGCGCTGGCATAACTTCGGCACTCTGGCGGGAGCCTGAGTAATCGATCGCACGGACCGGCCTGGAGCGCTCGCTCGCTCCGCAATCTACGGGCAATCCCTCTGCGGTCAACTACTCGGCGATGAGTTCTCTGTTTTCTGTGAGGTAGACTTCGAGATTTTTTTCTTTTCTTTCAGATTTATCTCTCGTGCTCTAGCTATCGTTTATTCGTTGACCGTAACGACTGCTGACCGCGCGGCGACCGCTGCGCGTGCATGATGTTTTCGTAGAAAAGATGAATAGAAAGAAGACAGAGGATTCTTCTCATCTTTATAATGTAGAAAAGAAACAAAGAATTCTTCTCATCTTAAGCCACGGTCCAACTTGTCACTTTTTCGCAAGTTTAGAAGGCACGCGTTGCAGTTGCCACGCGGTCGGCAGTCCGTACGGTCAACGAATGAACGATACTTGATTATCTCGTCTGTATACGTTGAGGAGTCTTGTCGCGCATGCTGGTGAGTCTCTGTGGCGTTTCTTTCGGTTTTACTGTTGCTTGTAGTGACAGTTGAGTAGATTTCCTACTTGTATAGTGTCCCCCGCAGTGTCCCCGTCTGCAGGAACACTATATGAGAGGAAACCTTTGTAGGAGTAGAAGGAGGAAAGGAATCTTAAATCGCATATTGATGTTCTCATTTTTTATTGGTGAATTCATTCTAGTAGGATCTTATTTTTGAGAGTTGATAGATATTTGAAGCCCTTTAAACCATTCATATTCTCAGGAACTGAATCAATAATGTTTTTTGAGAACTAAACTTTTGATAAAGTCTGCATAACAATATCTCAATTCAAACCAATTCATTGCACAGGATGTTCCAAAAAATGTACCTACTGTTAGATAGTTGTTAACTCTCTTGTCGTGAACTCTTTAAAGGCAGCGTCCAGGCAGATCTGGACCTATGGGGCTTTAACGTGGAAAGTACTTTTGGGGCCCTGACTAAGACACTGCCCAAGCGGCAGCTCAGGTAGTACTCTAATGGCTGAGATATTTCCCTCGAAACTGGCCCCCGCGAACGTATTCACATGGATTCATGGCAGCATCGCGCCAGGATCCACGCTTTGCGCCATGAATCCATGCAAAACACGGTCGCGGGGTCCAGTTTCGAGGGGAATATCTCAGGCGTTAGGGCACTACCTGAGCTGCCGGTTGGGCAGTGGCTTAGTTAGGGCCCCAAAAGTACTTCCCACGTAAGATCCCCATAGGTCCAGACTTGCCTGGACGCTGCCTTCAAGAAGTTACCACTTTGTTGAGCTGGCTTCAGCTTACAGTTAGATTGAGAGTTGGGAACAAGTCATCCATCTCTCTTTAGTACTGTAAGATTACGGTAGGAACTTCCGGCATACAGCATCACTGTGAAAATGTTGCCTCCTAAATAATTTCCAAAAAATCTAAAAATATGTGTGATAGAGTTTTCATGGATGCTTTGATATACTACTTTGTACAAGATTCTAATTCTAAACTATGTAACTACAATTTTTTAAGAGCAGCAAGATAACGGCTGCCACCATTACTTGGCATAATTTTTCAAGGAAACGTTATGCTGGAGGCAAGATTTATATTATCAGCAACTCTAGTTAGCCCAGTGTGAAAGTTCTAGGTCGCTTTGTTTCCTTTCTAATGCGAAATACGGTTCTCTCAAAATCCTTTTCTAAGTTCCTACCGTAGTTCTGCAGTATGTCTTGAAGTAATGAGGTGATCGATCCGCTTTATGTTGTAAACCTGAGTTGAAGCCAGCTCTAAAAATGGTAGCCTAAGATTCAGACTTCATGACAAGAGAGCTATCTGCAATCATTAAACAGTAGGCACATTTTTTAATCTGTAATCTGTATATTTTTTTTGTAAGGATTATTTTTATGAAGAAAATTTCGGATGAATTTTTTGTTTGGTTAATTCTAATGGGGCTAGTTTATTTCTTATCGTGTCACAAATGTCGACGTTTGGGCTAATGAAAAAAATTATAAAATGTTGGATAATTTAGCCTATGGAACCTAGCACTTCACCGGTTCTTCCCTGCCCACTTACGAACAGGCTAGAGTACACTTCTTATCTGCACTAACGGTAAGTTTCCTGTCGTGTTCTGTTCGCTTCCGGGTCCCCAATTTGAAGATTTTAGGCAAAGCCAGAAGCACTTAGTACCCCTCCAGAATACGAGGAGATTGACACAACAATCAGCAGGCGAATAATATAAACAATTTCCTGAACCATCAACAACGATAATAGAGCAGCCAACACCTATCCCCTGGTGAGGAATTTATATTTTCGGGATTTAATGGAGTTTAAAAATTTGAGTTTTTTTGGTGCGAGTAGTTGCAATGTTTCATGCCGTCATAGTCACAACGGTAAGATTATTATTTATGATTTTTTACACTGTATTTGAAAATATAATTGCAGATGTATGCCGCAGGTGCAAAAAAGGAAGATGAAGAAACTGCCAAGTTATGGAATCTTTGCACACGCATTTTTGGAATTGTGCCCTGGCTTTTAGCTCTAGCAAGTCCTAAATAATAAATATTTTTGTTTCAAAGTGTCTTCCACTGTTCGGTTAATCTTAACATCACCCTGTAACTTTGAGTACAATTTGAGCAGTGTAAGACTGGTATGTCTTTATTTCATTATTTAAGTGTACAATAATTTGTGAAAAAAAACCTTGAAAGTTTGCAAAAAAAATTTGACGGCTGTGTAAAATGTAATTTGCATAATATATTAGGTTGGTCCGAAAGTTCTGTCCCACCATTTTTAAAAAATCACAACTTCTTCCTAACACAGCAATTTTGCATTAATAAAAACTTTTTGAAAAGAGCATTTTATGCGCCTTCTAAATCTATTTTGGCTGCTAACTAACAAGCTCGCATTGCAGAGATAAAATTGGGAAAAGGAAATAACTTCAGGTTCGGAATTTTTAAGCAAGTCTGTTAAAAAATCCAAAACCGTGCCATAAAATTCAAAGCAACCAGTATCCTAGCTTTTCTGGTTTCCTCTTTCTAGGTGAGCAAAATTTGCGCTGATCGACCCTTCCTTTGGAAGTTATGATTTTTTGAAAAAAATGCCAGAAAATTAATTTTCTTAAGGAACTGATTTTTTAGCATTTTTTCTCGAAAATCATAATATCTCCAAGAAGAGCCCAATCAGCGCGAACTTTGCTCATATGGAAAGAGAGGATCAGAAGACCTAAGATACTGGTTGTTTTGGATTCTATGGTACGGTTTTGGATTTTTTAACGGGCTTGCCTGAAAATTCCAAAATTGAAATGATTTCCTTTTTCCAATTTTATCTCCGCATTCCGAGTTTAGTAGATAGCGTCCAAGATAGATTTAGAAAGCGCATGAGTTGCTCTTTTCAATAAGTTTTTAGCCATGCAGAAACATCATGATAGGAGGAAGTTATGATTTTTTGAAAATGGTGGGACAGAACTTTCGGACCGACCTAATACAAACCATATTGAACAGAGGATTAGGAAAAACCATTTACTTTGAGAATCCTTCTCAGTACTTTTCCATTAGTTTCTTGAGAATATTGAATTTTCTTTGGCATTTTTCAGGTTAAATAATAGTGCACGATTTACTTCTTCATTGCCGCCCATTGCCGAACCCTGCCTTTTGCACAACTGATCTATCAAATAGCTAGAGGCACTAGAAGCGTAGGAGAGGATAGTAATATCTCCTCCATGACGAAGGCGGTCGCCCAAATAGGTTGAGATCATGCAAGGCTGACGCGGACGCGGCGCGCGGGCAATTGTCAACCACAGGGCGCGCGCACGCTCGCGTGGATGACCGCTGACCGAGCGTGCGCGCGCCCTGTGGTTGACAATTGCCCGTGCGCGGCAGCCTTGCATGCTTTCAACCTATTTGGGCGACCGCCTTCGTCTTGGAGCAGATATTAGGAGAGGATAAATCCGAGAATTTTCACAATTGTCCAACGGAAAAAATGGATTTTTTGCACTTACAAATTGTTAAGTGAGATTGTGTAGAAAATCTCAGTGAGCAGCGAATTATGATGAACCCGGCTCCGCCGTATCCGGACCAAACTTGGCACACATACACTTCGGGCCCCGGCGCGTGTCACAGTCCACTTTTCGTTATCGATCGATGTCGATCTTACCGATTTTTATCGATTTTTTCGCA